AGAGGTGAGCTGTAATACAAGAGATGAGTCTAACTTTTCTTTCCTTATAACAGGAACAGAATAATTTTGAGAAGTATTCATTAAGCCTACAATCCTATGAAAAAAAACATATTTAAAATTATCTTGTATTATTATTTTTTTAATTCTTTGGTTTAGGAGACTCTGTGATCATGGCTGGCTTCACACTCAGTGTGTTGTTCATTCTGTCCTCCACAACGAGACAAATCTTAAGAATTCTCTCTGCATCTAAATATATACCACGTGGTCCCCAGAGAGTAAAAGCTATCACCTAACATCTTATTTAAAATGAAAAATCTCATTTCAGCCTCCTAACTTAGAATCTCTACCTCACACACTCTTCCTTTTTTTTTTTCCATTGCTAAAACTCGTGGACCAGTGTTCTAATATATTATGGCAGAAAACAAGGATGAACATGAAAGTTGGCAAAAGCAATCCATTCTTTCTAAAACCTTCATAAATAGTGGAACATTTGAGGGTGTAAGATACATTCCATTGGAAGGAAAGTTCCAGAAAATTACTGTTGCTTCTTCATGAAGGAAACGAAGACTACCATTTGACATGCATATTTCATAAAGTTAAAATGGATGCTCAAGATTCCCATGAATTGTTTTATAGTACACCTCTTTTATTTCCTTGAATCTTATAGAACATTTTCAAAACTTTTTACTTTGTCAATTTACCAAATTAACAATAACATTTTAGTCATTTGGCTGTGAATTACCAGGGACTGACATTTCCCCTACAATGTCTTTAGAAATAATGACAAAGGTTTCTCTGGTTCCTACGTGGCCAAAGCTGGTTCAGGGAGATAATTATAAGGAGAGTTGAGCTACACAAAGGAACACTGAATTCCCAAACATGATCACTTCCTGATTATTACATATGTGCCCCTAAGCTCAGGTTGTCATGAATTCATAATTTTACAATGAATAGGATAAATTCATAAGAGTTGCCTCTTACATAAAGGCCTTTTAAAACTGTCCACATGAATATAGAGGAAATAATCTATGTTCATAAACATATAATGTATGCCATATGTCTAGGGTGATGCTGTTAGAGTCAGGTATAGTTTTTAAACATGCTAATAGTAGCCATTACTCTAAATTTAGTCACAAATAAGCATGAAAAATTGTAAATGTGAATCTCAAAACAATCATTGTTGCAAAGGATTTTTCATGCCAAATTATGCTTCATCTAGCTTACACCTCTAATGATAATACCACTCATCAGCCACAGAACAGTTGGGCACATTACCTTCTCTCAGACTGTATCAATGAATATTCCCAAATCTTTGTTTCAGGAATTATTTTGAAAAGGGCAGAGAAATGTCTGTATATTTCAATACAAAGTCATTTCAAAGCATTTTTATAAATATTATTTCTACACCGCTATAGTTCTCTAAAGACCCAGGAATTTTCTCCCTCACACCTTAAATGTGATCTGTTCAACATTTTTGTTCGATATTAAAATGTTCATTTGAATATCATTATTTCTTGAAGAATTGTGTGGAACTTGTCAAAAACTATTTCTTTTTTCTTTGTTAGCTTCTAAAGAATTTTTTTTCTTCTCTCACCTTACTGTTTACCACTGTAGGATTGTTGTTGTTATTGTTGTTGTACTTGTTTGTTTGAGACAGACTCTCACTTTGTATCTATGGATTGCCTGGAACTGGATATCTGGACCAAGCTGTACTCAAAATCACTGAGAATGCCTCCTCCTCATGAGCACGTAGATTAAAGTTATGTGCCACCTATCTCTTTCGATTACTCACTTTCCACAATAAGTTTATCCCCTCTTCTAGGTCACTGTCAGAAATTCTGTTCAGAATGTTTTTAGATCCTTAAAGACAGTGATGGTGCCTTTCTTAGCAGCTATCAGGCTACTGTCAGGAATGTTATAATAACGATCTACAAGTGAATTTGGTTTTATATTTATGACCATGCTTTCTTTTTTATTCCTTTATTTGCTCCCTCACAATGTATTATGAAGCTGGATTTATGGGCCTAATGACTCAGCATTATGCCCAAGTTCAGTCTGCATGTTACATTATTGGAATTTTAACCAATGATGCTAGAACTTACAGTACCATTTTAAAAACAAGTTTGACAAGACAAGCCTCTAAATTCAAAGCATCTCAATTCATTTTGCCAGGTTTCCTCTCACTCCACGTAGCAATTTTTGGAAACATATATTAATTAACTTGTTTTTTTTTCCTTTAGAGTATATGTAACATATATATATATATATGTATATATATATATGTGTGTGTGTGTGTGTGTGTGTGTGTGTGTGTGTGTGTGTGTGTGTGTGTGTTGGAGACCCTGTGCCTGCTTAAAAATAATATGTTCATCCTACATGGGAAACTGAGTCCATCTATTGAATCTCAGTTCTAAAACTTTTTACCTCTGTGTTATATGTAGAATTTAATGCAATATTTTGAAAAAAGATGCCACACAGAACTTTAACATTCAGAGCTGTAGCAGCCAAGATAAAGACCTAGCTCTAATGTCAGTGACATTCCAGTGTCAGGAGAATACAGTGGAGAGTGATAGAGAAGGATACTTAATTTTCTTTCTTTTTTTTCATGTATGGGCTCACACAGCCACACACACAAATGCACATGTAATACATATATACACATAAACACATATAAGTTAATTTGTTCGCAACGTCAACTGAACAGTTCTATATTGCACGTTCTTTTTGGAAGTAATTGTCTTATATGTGTAGATATGTCACAGTTTCACATTGACCTTCAGATAACTTTCCATGACAGTACCAAACTTAATTATGCTTTATGGGACTCACCATGTTTATACTGGAGAAGCCTGGTGCAAGCTGTGGGCTCTAAGCTTCACACCCACACTGCTAACTGACCTTTTCATTTTTGTCAACAGGAAAGTCTAGTCCAGTCTTACATTAAAAGAGAAAGAAAAATTAAACAGTGTTCTAAAGACAGCCCCATTACTTTTAATACTTGAAACCCATTTAACAAAAGAAATGGGCGACTTTTTTTCTGAGAAGCCACAAGCCACAAGCAATTAATCCTGTTGTCAATACGAGAATGAAAAGCATTTGGTTTACACATGTGGCAAGTCTGTCTTAATCTTTTAGTTCATCAAATTCAAGGAGTGAGCAAAAGGCAAAGATTGTAACTTTAGCTGCCAAGGAGAGTGTGAATCATTTCTCTCAAGATTTTAAATATCCCTTTTTAGCTTGAAGCTATAAAGCAACCGACCTGAATGAAAACAGATTTAGGATGTAACAAGAAGACAAAATTTAACCAGCATATGTTAAAAGTGCCTTGCTGAAACAGAACAAAAGTTTCATGAATAAATATTACTAAAGGAAAAAAAAGAACCATGCAACACTGTTCACACTGTGTTGACTGGGTCTCATGCTGTTAAAGGCCATGATCATTCTGTTAGGATAAAGATGTATAAATTAGCAAAACAGTAAACTGCTTAAAGAAGATTTTTCTGAAGCTTAATGATTGGTGTACTTTTAGTAAAAACTGTCTTTCTAGCTTGAATCTATGGAATCTATGGTTGCACACACACACACACACACACACACACACACACAAAAGAGAGAGAGAGAGAGAGAGACCCTGGCTTACTTGGTTTACTTTCTAGATTGATAATCTTTCAAAAATAACTCTCTCCCATATACATACACACATATGCACACACTCACACACACATATGTGTGTGAGTGTGGGTGTGTGTGCGTGTGTGTGTGTGTGTGTGTGTGTGTGTGTGTGTGTGTGTGGGTGTGTGTGTAACCAAAAAAAAAGAAAAGCGGCCATGAATTTGAAAGAGAGCAAGGTGGTTACATAGGAAGTTTTGGAAGGGGGAAAGGGAAGCAGAATATGATGTTATAATAATGTTATGAAGTTAATACTAATATTATGTTACATACCATTTGACATGTAATAATAACACTTTCAGTTGGGAAGAGAAGAATGAACTCATATATATCTGTATTAATTCAGTTTTCAATTATGATGAAATTTCATGTTAATATGAGTATATTTTACTGTTCAAAATATACTATACAAAGAAATGAATATCTGTATATTTACCTGTATAATAATATTTCATAGGAAGAGAGAAAATAAATTCCTTGTGAAACTATGTTTCCAGTTTCAGAAATATACACTAAAAATAGAGACAATCATGTTAATTGTATTATTGATTACAAAGTTATCATTTAAACATTGACTAAAATTATGATGTCACAATAGAAAGTTTGATAATCTCAATAAATATTTGGGAGATTTATCACTATGCAAGTAAGCCAAGTTAAAATGACCAAGTGTGGGCCTGGAGAATATGTAAACGCACAAGAGAAATAAATGTATATATTAAATACAGTAAAACATATATAAGCAAATATAAAAGATGAGCAGCAGAAAAAGTGCTTTTTATCCAGGTCTTTGCACAGTTCCTCTTTAAAAAAAAAAATAATACAGGTTTTCCCCGACAGTCTCACACACTTAAAAATAGCATCCTAACACTTTCCTTCATTGGCTGCTTTTCACTATTTGTATGCTCTGTAAATTCCCGAAAGTCTCATACAAAGAATCAATAGATTTTTTAATATACATTACATCTAAGTACATATATTTAATTACTATATCATAATTTGAAACTTAATGGTTTACATATAGTATTTACAAAACAAATTTGAATAAATTCATGGAAAAGTCTAGGATATAATGTAAACGGACATTTCTTTTTTTTTACAGGCAATTATCTATATTTTTTTATTTTATAATTAATTTAATTTTACATATCAGCCTCAGATTCCCATGTCCTCCCTCCTCCCCCTCCCGCCCTTACCCCAATCCACCCCCATTCCCACCTTCTTCCCCCATTTCCACCTCCTCCCCCCATTCCCACCTCCTCCAAGGCAAGGATTCTCCTGGGGATTCAGTTTAACCTGGTAGATTCAGTTGAGGCTGGTCCAGTCCCCTCCTCCCTTCACCCAGGCTGAGCAAAGTGACCCCACATAGCCCCTAGGCCCCCAAAAGCCAGCTCATGCACCAAGGACATGTCCCGATCCCACTGCCTGGGGGCCTCCAAAAAAGTTCAAGCTAATCAACTGTCTCACTTATCCACTGGTCCAGTTCCATGGGGGCTCCTCAGCTATTGGTTCATATTTCATGTGTTTCCACTAATTTGGCTATTTGTCCCTGTGCTTTTTCCAGTCATGGTCTCAACATCTCTCACTCATACAATCCCTCCTCTCTCTCGCCCATTGGACTCCCGGAGCTCCACCTGGGACCTGGCCGTGGATCTCGGCATCCGCTTCCATCATCATTGGAGGAGAGTTCTATCACGACAGTTAGGTTGGTAAACGGACATTTCAAACCACAGAAGAATGGCATTGGCAAGGAAATATTTTTTTCAGAGATAATAGTGAAAGAAAATCCATATGTTTACATATCTGTCCACACAGACATAGTCTGCATCATAGCCTAAGTACAGTGTTATCAGGCACTGCTCACTGGGCATTTGATATTAGGGAATATGAACTTAGAGCTAACTAGATGATCCTAAATATGCAAATTTACATGTAATTACTCCAATAAATAAAAGAGGGAGTAGAGAAATATGAAATCTGAAAATCATTGCCTTGAAGTTTGAAGGAAAAAAACCAATGAGAATATACAGAGTGAATATAACAAAGTAATGTAATGGAAAAGAAAGTTTAAAGTGACTCTAAGCCTTCCTTAAGTCCTTCAAAAACGTTTTAATTAAAAGAGAATTCCATCACTTCTCTCTCTCTGGAGAGGTTCTTTATGTCTTCATGTTACACATTGTCTTTTCAGTTTCAATTGTTTTGAAAGAATCTCTACGCAGATAGAGTTTTGTAATAAATCCTTTGTAGAAAGCAAAAAGAACCAGTTAAAATATATATTTACTGTTTTGATAGCTAGGGAAAACATCACTTTCTTACACACCAGGCTACCTGGAACATGAAACCCCAATTAACAAAAGTGAAACGTGTAAACTCATGGCCAACCCAACAAACATGATGATTCAACATTATGGTAGTGAGGTAGGAGCAGAGAAAAGAAGTGTAACTAAAGATGTCATTAAAAAAAAGAGGTGATTGTCTCATTTTCAAAGTAATTATTGCATTGAAATAATGGAGCTCACATTTTTTTCTTAATTGCTTCAATATTTCTCATTTGAAGATATTGCATAAACATATTAAACTGTGTGTTTGAGAAGAAAAATGACTGAAACCGGGATATATACATATATATATATGAGTAGGAAAGAAAACATCACCTTCAGGATATGGAGGTGCTTAAGACTTAATCAGTGGAGGTTGAGTGGGATGGCTTACAACAAGGAGCTTCTCATATTCACCAAAATTCTCCAGGTAGTGGTCAAATCCCTATAAGTGTGTGTGTGCGTGTGTGTGTGTGTGTGTGTGTGTGTATGTGTGTGTTTCACCCAGACTCCCTGAATACGAAGATGTTGTTTTGAAAACACAACCTGCTCCATAATATTCTACCTGCCACTCATTCCTAGTATACAGAGCCTTCCTATACATCCCATCTAGTTTCCCCTCTGCCTTGTGCACCAGGGAGACAGTATTGTATGGCGATATTCTAGGAATGGGCCCAGATCTCTTCTCACCAAGTTTTACCCCTTTTTTGAGATGGTTTCAATTCTCAAATCTGGGTGACAATTTTATTAGACATGTGTCATGGTTGCCTACCTTGGTTCCTGTTTTGTTTTGTTTTTTTACATGCTGACTAAACATCTGCTCTCAGTACAATTCTCTTCATCACATGTGAAGCTCCTAAGAATTTCTACACTCTACTCTCCGTTTATGTTTTTCAGTAAACAGTAATAATTTCACTTTCAAAGATATTAAATTTTCAATATGCAAATCATGCAAGATTCATTAATGTATTAATGGGATTTGTAACATTATTTAAATTTTTCACATATGTAACACATTTTTTATTGTTATTCAAAAATGTGTACTAATGTATTCTGAAACTTTTTATGTCTCTTATTGAAAGGTCATTCATTAGTGATAAAACTTATTGAAGTGCTAACAAATAATCTCATAGTATATTATTTATGTTTTCCTGTTTATGTTATAAGGGTCCCCATTCTAATATGACTAGTTATTCAAAAACTTAGTTTGAAGAGATCTGATAAAACTGAGAAAATGAAATTAAATTAATGTAATTCATTCACAAATGTTAGATAATTTGTTACAATCTGTTATGTTCCTTTGTTGGCTTTTGCTAAGTTAACTTCATGAAAAGTATACATGTTTCAAATTTTACAATATTACGACAACAAACACCCATTTTTAATTAATTTTTACAAAGTTAATTTTCTTAACATTTTTGTTAAATACCCACATGGCATTTTGATGAGTACTAAAATTGTAAAATTTGATTATTTTTTTAATTACTTAATACTATCAACCCAACATATCTGACATTACTTTTTATTAGATGTATGCTATTCTACTTTTAAAAAAAATGTCCTTTTTTAAAATGAAGATTGCAACTAGATATTACTTTAAAATACCTTTAAAAAAACTTTGTTGGATACTTGTTAAATGTGATTTGATGGAAACTGAAACATTAGTTCCCAGGGAATGGGGAAGATTGATTTTATGCAATGTTATCAGTGAAGGAAATATTTGATAAGACAATAAGGCACAATAAGATAATGACATCACATGTTGAAGACAGAAATGTACATTGTAAAAGTGATTTAGTGACTGCATTTGTTTTTCTTTAAGTAGCATCATGTTATTGTTATGTTTTCATAGTAGGAACCCCAGCATTTTTTTAATGAACCAGTTGGAGATAATGGAAGTAACTCTTGCCAGGTCAACATAGAGCTAATTTTCCATTTTCTGGAGGAACAGATGGTGTAGATGGATACAAATCTGGCTTCATGGAGGGAAAAAATGGTTTAGTTTGGCACATTCACTTCAGGAAATATTTTTCATCAGCTAGATCCTTTCAGCCATTTTGCAAATGTCCTCCCATGGATACACTGATTAAGGGTAATTATGAATATGTGTACAATCTGTGTGCAGCATCTAGATGTATCCCTACGCTAAGTTCTCCTCTCTGGCCAGTTGGTTTAGTGAAACAAGTTTCTGAGATTTTTCATTTTATTCAACTTAATAGAATTTGAACAAATAAGGAAATAAAAGTCACATAATAAATTGAAATACAGATACTTTATACTACATAATTTTTGTTCCAGTTTCCTGTGTAGAATAATTAGCAGAAATAATAAGAGACCAAAGCTAATGGTCTTTTGAACAAAAGCTTTTTACAAAGAATTAAGAAGTTATTTGTTGAAAAGTAATTCAATAAATATTATATAAACGTTAGCACTTTCTGTTGTAAAAAAACATAACAATTGAGTTTCAAGATGGATTGTTACATTTTCTTCTAATCAAAATCCTGACTTATAGAAAGAAGTAGGGGAGATAGCAGGACCTCTGTTTTATGTCAAATAATATTTGGTATAATATTTGTCAAAAGCTTTTTTTTTAAAGTTATAAACAGAACTACAAGTTGCATGGAATGAATGTGATCTCGCTTTTTTGGCATAACATCCAACCATCTGAACATGGGAAATTTAGACATTAGAAAGAATATGACTCAATACCACAATTCTAAAACTGGCCATAAGTGGAGATGTGGAATCAATAGATAGGTTATAAAAATTCAATAAACAACTTTAAATTACCTAATAATTTTCTCCCTATCTTTGAGTATCATTATCTTTAAAAGCTAATGCATGAATATTAAATTATTTTGGAATAAAATTTAACACAAGAGAAAAAAGTCACATGAATAACACCAACTATATATAGGGTATAAATCATGACTATATGAAATAATAAAATTCATCTTGTTTTTTTTTTTTTCAAGACAGGGTTTCTCTGTGTAACAGTTCTGGCTTCCCTGGAATTCACTTTGTAAACTAGGCTGGCCTTGAACTCAGAGATCCACCTGCCTTTGCCTCCAGAGTACTGGGATTAAAGGTGTGTGCCACCATTGACCAGCATTTTGGGTTATTTTACATTGAGTTATCATCATCATCATCATCATCATCATCATCATCATCATCACTATATTGTGTGTACCTGAGTGTTTCTCTTCTAGGGTGCCACATCATGGCTGTTTAGGTCAGTGGACAACTTAAGAAAGTTATTTACCTGTTTCTACCATGTGAGTTCTGGAGAACAAACAGGTCTTTAATTATGCTGACAAGCATCTTTACTTGCTGAACCATCTCAACAACCCTAAAATAAGGCCTACACAAACTAAAACTCTCTAACAGCAAGAAGAAAAATGTATATTAAATATATCAAGAAAATGTTTACTTAGATGTGATGACTTATATGTAAGTAAAGTGAAATATATTTGGGAGAAAAGGATGAAATGGCAGGTTGGTCTGTGCACAATGTGATATGTGTGGAGAGAACTATAATTGACATCTCTTTTAGTCTGTGATCATATGCAATAGACACACAGGGAAAACCTCTGTCTTGTATTAAAATGCAAAAAAGAAGAAATTGCTATTGATTTAGAAATATACAAGATCCTAGAGAATGGGGACACTGACTCCCAGAGTTTACTTTATTAAAAGACAAAATACTGTGTATCATTAATACAACCAGGCTATCAGCAGACTATGTTTCCTTAAAATAATCACATTTTAGTAAAGAAGGGAATTTATTCATGTATCTGATATTCATAAAATTAGCACACACTAAATTTTAATTTTTACATTCAAAATAGTTGTCAGAAGTTAAAATGATTCCACAATTGTATATGAAATAATGTTGAAAAACTTGACTCAAATTTAAAATAGTTCAAATGAAAATAAGAATGTCCACATAGGAGTATTTAGAAGAGTACACGGGACACCTTGGGTCCTGGTGTTGATTACTGGACTCAGGAGATATTCTTCTACTCTGCTTCAACACAAGAAACCCTAAGATCCAAAAGGAGAAAGAAAGAATGAAGACCGTCCTTAGATCCTGCAAATGTTGGCCCATAATTCCATAATTGACACACGACACTTCTTAAATTTTGCTAGTGATACCAAAGAACCTTGTTGTGTTATGAAAGATTAAACATGTTGTAGTAATGCATTTGTCAGTGAGGCTTCTCATCAACTTTTGCCTGAGATTATTTTCTATAATGCATGTTTTCATTAGAAAATAGTTCATTATAATGTCATTTTAAACCTGTTTTTGGCTCCTGCATCATAACAACTCCTTCTGCAATACTGAGGTCATGACTTGCATTGTTGTATGACCATTAAAACACATACCACTTGAAGACTCAAGAGACAGTACCTGTGCCTACCTACAAAAAGCAATCCAATTGTCTCTATTTTGAATTGTAGTCTCCTCTATATTTTGGTTCCCAGTTATTTCTGAATTTTTCTCAGAAGCTCAGTTCTATATAAGAAAACTGTATTTGACAAATGCTATTCAGCATATTTAAGTCTTACAGAGAAATACTTTCAGGTGATATAATGTGACAGCTTCTGCTAATGGAAGGAATGCCTATGAGCAATACACAGAACTCTTTGTCTTTGTTGGTTTAACTTAAACAATACATTGTTATAAATGGAGAATATTTCTAAAGAATATTCATAGGATAAACAAAGCTGTGAGCTCTAGCCAATGGGCCATAAAGTGTGAAACAATGAAATGAGAATAAGGTCGATTTAAAATAAATGAAATCTTAAAGCGCAAGGTAAAATGAGCATGACAAGAATGCTTTTGTTATAAACAGCTTGAAAATTATAATATATGTCGAAAAGTGATATTTGCAACCAACAGCAGAAATCAGAGTTTTCAAACATTTGAGGAAGGATGAAAAAATGGCTAGACACATTAATGGTGTTCTAGGAGCTAAGACTAAATTAATCTCTGAAAGTTGCCAAAGAAGATATGTGGGATCAATCTAGGGAATACACTTGTGACAGTTGAGATCTTATCAGTTGACTGCCATATAAAACATTGAGTGTCACTGCAGAAAGAAGTAGGGGAACACTTATGAAGTAACATCACTCACCCTTTATACATGGTTCTACACTTCTCCCCAAATAGTATGATAAAAATGAATCATGAATATGGATTTCTCAAAATAATCTGGCTTAGTTATAAATTCAAATGGAAGAAAATGTTTTGTAACTATAACTCATATTTACTGTGTATAAACTAGAGACCATTACACTTTACTGGGAAATATGGAAACTCAAATAGAATTTATTAGAATTTAAAACAATTGATTTTCTATTTAAAATAATGAAATCACAATATAAATAAAACTTATTCCAGTATCCATTATAATAATCAACACATATCTTAACCCATTGCTTCTAAAAGTATATGTGGTCAGTCTACACTTATTTATGTGTTGAGCAATTTTTATTCCTCATAATTACAGAGTATTTAAAATTCAGTAACTTTTTATACAAAACATATTTAAAATTACTTTTCACTTTAGCAAAAGTTATTCTGATTTGGACTAAATATAGAAATGCAACAGCCACCACATTCATGTCAAAGCAGGTTAACAGGAGCAACAGAAATAGTAATCCATGCCATTTGAATCTTCTGGGAAATATGGCATGCATGGAAGAGTGTGTCCCTTCTGGCATACTGCTGTTCTCGATTCATTTTCTTTCACTGAAACTGGTTTAATACACTAACCTAGAAAAGACCAACACATTTTTATATGATGGGCAACTTGTCTCTACCTTTATTCAATGTTAGGATTGAGCTATAGAAAGGTTCAAGGGTTCTCACTAGCCTGTAGCATATGACCTTTAATTATTTTCTTTTGTATTTTTAATATTTTTTTAGTAAGAGATTTTCTATTCATTTTTCATACCAACCACAGATTCCCCTGTCCTCCTCCCACCCCCAGCTTTCCCCTGCCAACCCACCCCCAATTCCCACTTCCTCCAAGGCAAGATGTCCCATGGGAAGTCAGCAGAGCCTGGTACATTCAGCTGAGGCTGGTCCAAGCCCCTCCTTCCTGCACCAAGGCTATGCAAAGTCTAACCATAGTCACTAGGTTCCAAAAAGCCGGCTCATGCACTAAGGACAGGTCCTGGTCCCACTCCCTGGGGCCCCCTATACAGTTCAAACTAAACAACTGTCTCGCTTATCCACAGGGCCTAGTCCAGTACCATGGGGGCTCCTCAGCTATTGGTCCACAGTTGATGTGTTTCCATTAGTTTGGCTGGTTGTCTCTGTATTTTTTCCAGACATGGTCTTGATATCCCTTGCTCATAGAATCCCACCTCTTTCTCATCGATTGGACTCCTGGAGCTCCACCTGGGACCCGGCCATGGATCTCTGCATCTGTTTCTATCAGTCATTGTATGAAGGTTCTATGATGATAGGGTGGGTATTGAGCCACCTGATCACCAGAGTAGGCCAGCTCGGGTACCCTCTCGACTATTGTCAAAAGTCTATGGTGGAGTCATCCTTGTGGATTCCTGGGAACTTCCCTAGCACTCTGCTTCTCCCTATTCCCATCGTGCCTCTATTTAAAATTTTTATGTATTACATTACTATATTTTTTACTCTGGAAAGTATTCTCTTTTTAGTATACTACTTCACATATCCAGAACAATGTGATTCTAACTCTTTTGACTCTCTATTTTTACTTCTGTGAATCTCATCTAAAGAATGGACTTAGGACTGGCAATGGTGGTGCAAGCCTATAATCTTAATATTCTCAAGACTGGGACAAGAGAACCACGAGACCATGCGAGAGCAGTTTAAAAATGGACTCTCAATAAAATAAAATAAAATTATAAATATATGAATAAATAATCCCTCTTATATTTATACCTGTCATCACACACTGATGCTCACTTCCCATCTCCCCTCTCTGTTTAATGTATTACACTGACAGATTAGCTTCTACTGTCTTATTTTATGTCACCTTTGAATGTACATGTTAGGTGAACCCAAGTTCATAATTTCTTTTTTTTTCAAAATTAATAACCCACGTGTAAGAAGTTTTATAGCCATGTAATTTGGAAAGTATAGATATCTTTGGTAGCCCAGAAACAGCAATATAATAATATCCAAGACATTCAATATGTGGCAAATAGGAAAATAAGAGTTATTCTTTCTGAGAATCATTCTTTAAGTGCATTTGACTCATTTTATTCTCATATAACTTTGATTAAAGTAAGTACTGAATGTTCACAAGTGAAAAAACCTAGACATTAGTATACACAGGTCATGATATTATTTTTAGGTGACTATGGGAAGACTAGAAGCTCTTTTTATTGCTTGGTAGAGACTGCACAGGGTATCCAATGAGGTCTGTGGCTATAACTTCTGTTGTTTTAAACTGCTCTGTGCACTTCCAGTTAGCTTATAAGACACCTTTACTGCCCTACGTCAATCTACATCACTTGCAATACACCAATAAAATCAAAATTAACCACAAAACATACTGCTTTAAACTCCCCGTACTTCTATTCTCATTCACCCGCTTTAAAATATGAAATTATCCATGTCTTCTATGTTTCTGTAATATGTAATTCTGAATTACATCATCTAAATTTTTCTTCCCCAAGATGCCATCCAGTGATGCTGCACAAATTTTAAGTGACATCTTTTTTACTTCTCAACATTATAGGCTCTGAGAATTAGTTACAATGCTCTAATCTTTCATGATGGCTCTGGTTATTTCTACCCCATATGAGCAAACACTTTGCAGTTAGATTCATTTTCTTTAAGTACTTGTTTTATCCCTTCATGCTCTTAGCTAAAAAATATTAACGGATCTACAAAGAAAAAGACAGTGTACACTTTCTACCTTATTCTTCAATAATAAACTACATGAAATTTCAATACTATGTACATCTACTCATGCTTACCATCTTGGATTCTTGGAACTGATGTAACATATCTTCGTGAGGTGATTTAGAAAAGAAACATAAACAATTCTGAAGTCCTAGAAGTCAAACAATGTGCTGGCAGTTGTCTGGTAATGTCATTTCTTGAACTGCAGAAAATTGTCTTGTATACTCTCATTGCAAACAGAAGGTGTATTCTTTTTTTGGGTAAGGACAAATGTCATTATGGCAGCTACTTCTTCTAGGTTTATATAGAAATAACTGTCTTTTAATACCTCATATCTACTTTTTAAAAGTCCTACTGGCCCATAGTGAATTGTAGCTGGAAACACTCATGCATTTCCTAATCCTCTCATCATTAACCATTGGAGTTTGTGGATGTTAGTGTTAGAACCCTGTGTTACCAATGTCTGTAGTTACTTAGTTCCCTATTATGTAATAATATTATTACATAATTATCACTATTATTCATATGTAATCAGCAGATATATATGAATATGAATATCCTACTTTATGATTTAATTTGTTTCTACATAACTTGTGAGCTAATATAATGTAAATGGTGTATATTATAAAATATTGTGTTGATTAAAGAATAACAAAAAATCATCAGTAAATTTTCAGTACAATTAAAATAATTTTCCATATGTATTTTAGTCTGTGAATGGCTGAGTTTAGATGTAAAATTCACCAGTATGAAAGGTTCACTCTATTCATATTTCTTATAAATACTCTACAATTTTAATCCTCATATCACTTATTACAATTTTTAAGTTTCCATTATGTATTTAGTCAGCTATTTTATTAAATGAAAGCAGCAACTAAATGATAATTAAAATTAAGGGTAACTTTTTTTCCTTCTATGTCAGGGAGTATAGATTCAAAACGAGGAAACGGTTAGTTACTTCCTTTTGGAAGACTTACTAGTCCAGACTATTGCAACCTGTCCTAGCCTCTGGTGCCTCCAGACTTCACTCATCTCAGGGGCTTGTGGATACAGGACTCTAATATCTTTATTGATTGTTTTCCCACAACCACATTAATACTACGTGCCTCATTCCTTCTCATTATACTCTTGCTCATTTCTCTTT